TGTTTGTAGAGAAACCGAGTCATGAGACTTCTGATCCAAAGATACTTCATGGAGAAAGATGAAGACGAGATCTGCTCAACAGAGCTATTTTCTGCAGCAGCTGAACATCAACCAAACATTAATCAAAACAGCACTCTTTAAAAGATTAACTGTATATATATATATATATATTATACGTATTGCTATATAACACATGACAATAGAGTTGATTACTTGAGGATAGTAAATGGATGATGAGCTGAGTATTTAAAGTACAATTATAAGTTATAAATTTACAAATCATACAGAAATAATAAGGGTTAAAATCGGTTACGGAACATGATAAAAGTACATCATACATGCAGTCATCTCTAAAAATAAACTGCCTATCCAGATATATATAACAGCTATTGTTCCAAAAATAGATCGTCGKTAAATTAACCTTGTCAGCTATTCGTAGAATATTCAAGAGTCGCCATGCAGTTCACGGATCTGCAGTTCCATCTGAGGAACAAGGAATAAGTGCTAGCTCCCAATACTCAAGGAAAAATCTTGATTTGAAGTGAAAATGATTATGATATTTTGAATTCATGAAAGCACTCCAAACCAATAAATTAAATAAAGACCGGGATCGTATTATATATAACACTGATTGATTGAGAAACCGTTACGCGTAAAACATTGAATGTGCCCCTAAAGCTCCATGCTTCATTGATCGAAGCAAGATAAGTTGCTGTCAACACATTTGACTCTCATGTAACACCTACATCAAATAACACAAGTACATGATATTTTTTCAATATAACTGGATCTATATATTTGTATTCTTAAGAGAAAGTAAACGTGTCCTCTTGTATCATTGTGTTATTGTTTCTTGGGAAGAATTGAATAAAACTGGATGAAATTTGAATAAACTGGATGAAATTTGAATGCTATAGACTCTTCATGGTTCACATAATGTTATTTACTTCCTATACTTGACTTAGAGTCTGGTATCGTGGTTTTATACGTAATTGTAATTAGTGTGCGTGGAAGAATCCAGAAACTAGGACGTCTGAAATTCAGGCTTTGGCAGTGCAGTGGTAGTTTTCCGCAAAGCCGAATAGTAGTTACTCGCGAATTCTAATCTAATGACACCATACACTATCTATCTAGATAGTGAGTGACTATTTATCCAAAAAAGCAGAGGATATCACATACTTACAGTTCTATTGGGATATCACAATGTCTTTCTTTACTAACCGATTAAGATCTAGAACTTCAAGCTCCAATACCTTGGATTCTGAGCTAAATGAAGTTCAATCGCCTGGTGTTCCGAATGTCAGCGAGGAACACAACTACTTCATCGAAGCTATCAGAAGAAATGATCTTGACACAGTTAAGGARTTTCTGGACGGTCAACGTGTAAATGCAAACAGTATCGATCGAGCTGGAAGAACTGGCTTACAGATTGCCGTTCAAGGACAAAACATTGCMATGTTGACTGTATTACTGGAAAGAGGTGCAGTTATCGGCAATGCATTGCTGGATGCTATTAAAATGGGATGTTTAGAATGCGTGGGTGTTTTGGTCCAGTACGATAAGGGACGTGGACGATCCGTTCTTGAYCATGCAGTGGAGAGACAGCAGAGCCAGCAAAGTACAGCATCACAATCAAGTCTGCGAAACAAAGTCCTAACGCCTCTTGTACTTGCAGCTCAACTGGGAAACTTTGAAATCACGAAGTTTCTATTATCAAACGGGTACGTCATGGACAAACCCCATCAGAAATTCTGCACCTGTGCCAACTGTGGAGATCTTGGAAGACTGGGGTGCTATCTAAATAACCTGAAYATATATCGTGCTTTAGCAAGCCCAGTCTACATCGCCCTCGCCTTCCTGCTACAAGACCCTCATGACACTTCCAARAAGCTGGATCCCATTTACAGAGCCTTTTTGCTAAAACGAGAGATTCTCCATCACGCTGACATCGAGTTTGAGTTTCGAGAAGATTACTTAAGACTGGCAGAAAAGTGTGAGGATTTTGCTGTCTCTCTGCTTGACCAGTGCAGTGATCTTGGAGAGATTTCACTGTTCATGACCATGCCAGCTCCACAAGGGGATTCAGGTGTTGATATAATTGGAGGGACATCCCACCAGAAAATTCTTAGTGTGTTGAATTTTGCCATTAAGTATGGCAACAAAAAAGTAAGTACAAAATATTCCATTGGGACATTTGTCTGCAAGTTTATGATATTTTCAAAATTTCTGTTCCCATCTTAGTGTTCAAACGTATTCAATTCAAACGTATTGAGAAGAAATAGCAAATGAAACTGGCGCCGTGCATTGTTTTGATGGAAAATTATGATTCGGATCAGTAGCGAAGGCACAAAGGACCACAAGATATATTACTATTCAGTTAGGTCGTTCCTCTTGTATTGTAAAAGATCATATGATCTAGATATCATTTGTTTGTTTTTCCTCTATTTTTGTCTCATTCGGGGAAGAAGAAGCCAGATAAGAAACAAAGTRACATTGAAAGCTATCAGGAGGAATAGAGGTCCAAASCCCCCTCACTTGCTTCCCATATATGGTAGTTACGGCATTAAAACATTCCATGCCTTCAGAAAAGCTATTGTATTAGTATATGAATATGTGAAACACACGAACTAGAAATAATTGGAAAATTAAAGTGCTTGGAAAGGAGGTTATTCTCGCCCAAAGACCCTTGTAAATTAATTCSGAAAAATTATTTTCCGACCTCGCTGGGGTATTGTACCAATATCACAATATAATCGTGATATTGRTAGAGAAGGCACATCCAAGTTGTCATCATCATGCATGGACTTTGCTCATTTTTTTCCGGACATTTTGAGATTAGTGCGAATATATGCACAGTATTCGCCAATATTCTGTAAATTCATACTACACCTACTTGCGAAAACGTTGTCATAAAAAAGGACATTTGTATTTAGTAAAAAGGAATAAATTAAAAAAAGACAAAAGAAGATCACTGATGCTGAACGCTTTCTTTTGTCTTGTTTTAATTTATTCATTTTTACGAAATTTAAATGTTCTGTTTTCTATGACAACGTTTCTGCAAGTAGGTGTATATTCGAAACTCACAAGAGGGTTCAGATTGATGTGACAGCACTGACAGATTCTTACTTTTGCAGTTTATTGCCCATCGATACAGCCAAGTGATCCTGAACTCAGTGGTTTACCATGGACTGAAAGGAATGGAAGAACACAACATTTTCATCAACTCCATCGTCATTATCGTTTATTGGATGTTTATGCCATTCTTTATGTTGATGTACCAGTTTCTACCAACGAATTGCTGGACAAGATGGCTGGAAGTGCCGATGGTAAAGTACCTTAGTCATCTTGGATCAATGGTGTGGTTTTTGTGCATCTTGGTCGGTGCTGCATTTCATGTTAAGCTACCGAACTCGGAGGGTGGTTTCAGTGGTTTAGAGCTAAATGTCTTAGGTATGAAAAGTTGCTCTGGATATTTGTTAACAAGTTGCAATTTACTCCTTTTGGTGTTTTTTTTTAATGTGCATTTTCAGTTAAGTTTATCTAGGGGCGCTGTTGCACCGTGCAATTTTCCAGTCAACTTATCAGGCAACGGTGGGGGATTAGCTCAATTATTGTGCCACATCGTTGCAAGAGAAGTTGTTAGAAAAGTGCACAATGCAAAAAGTAACACTTTTATTTGAAGATTTGCTAGCCTTGTCGGTATCATCATTGTCGACAAACTGGATTACCTATCACTACATTCAGGGGCGGATCCAGCTGTTGGGTGAAGGGGGGTGCGCACCCCCTCCTGAGATCTATATCCTTCAATTTTCCCTATTTTGCATCTTCATGGTAATGATTTTTGTGGCATGCACCCCTCCTGAGAGGCCCGCACCCCTACCTGAGGAAAGTCCCATGGATTCGCCCCTGACATCTTTTTGTATTTGAAGATGTGCTTGTTACCTTATGGGTCATTGGCATCATGGTTGAAGAAATCAAGCAAGCTAAACGACAGGGCAAAGAACGATACACTTCCCAATGGTGGCATCTGTGTACTATTTTAGTTGTAGGTCTTTTCGTGGTAACGGCAATCCTGTGGCTCATTGGGTTTATAAGCCTGGCAGAGAAGCAGGACACCTTGTCTGTCTCCTTGCGCACTATTCTGGATAAAAACAACGTTACTCCTAAAACGTTGATTCTTTTATCGCACAGTTTGTACTCCATGGCACTCGTCCTTACCTTCTTCCAAGCTTCTTCTCACTTTCAGGTATAACTTTGATCCTTGCCTATAAAGAACTCTCGATATAACGTTGCATAGCTGTAAGGTTGGCCGGAGCTCAGTAGTTTTTAGTCAAACTGACACCGAGTAAATCTTTYAAAGATTTATACAAGGAATATACGACAGATAATAAGAAAGAAACCCTACTCAATACAACGTTGTAGACAGAACGGAGGGATTTTTTTTTCAGGAAAGCTTTGAAATTTTATCGCTCATTATAATTTACCTCGAGGGAAACGTTAGTTTAAAGCCCCCTATCCATTTTTKAACTACCTCCCAACATAAGATGACCTCGGGCTATATACAACCTTGAAATGTTGTTGTTTATGACATTTCTTTAATAGGTGAGCTACAACTTTGGACCACTGCACCTGTCAATGATGAAAATGGTTGTCGATGTGGTGAAATTCTTCGTTCTTTTTGGTGTTGCTTACATGTCCTTTTGTCTTGGATTGAAAAAGCTTTACTCACAGTATATCGAGACTCTCAAAACATCACTGAATGYATCATCCATCCAAAATGCAACACACGTGTTTGAAGGGTATGTTAGTGTTATAAGACTTTTTAAGAATATTTTATGCACCCTGMCCTATAAGAAGAATAGAAGCTTCATTTAGGGGACATCTGGTATTTGGCGTCATCTATTGTTTGGCAAATATCTGGTGTTGGTACCCCTTTCCACTGGAAAAAATCGCGCGCTTTAAGGTTGTAAATTTGATGTAAATATGATGTAAGTGTCCCAAATTCTGTAAATTTAATGGAAATCATTTACATCAAATTTACAGAATTTTGGACACTTACATCATATTTACATCAAATTTACAACCTTTAAAGCGCGCGATTTTTTCCAGTGTTCTTTCAACAGGGAACACAAGCAACCTCTACCTTATGTTGTTCCCTGGGCATAGGCAGTAAAAACAGCGGTTTTCATATGATATAAGGATGCCCTTATTAATATGTTTTGACGGTTCACACTGAAAACTCTTTAACATAAGCAGAAGCATAAACAAGGAAATAAAATCTCAGTTAGTCATAATACTATCTATTTTCGAATTCAAATCGAATAACCGCTGTTTTTTGACAGCAGATTCTCTTACGCAAGGAACTTAAAAAACACAAAAGAAAGCACGAGAAAATGTTGTGAGTGCTTATTTTTTTCACGGTTGACACGTAAAAAATCCTCTTCTCTTTCTACTTATGTTGACGTGGCCCTAAGAGAGCATCATTGATGAAATTTGTTTGCTTGTTTTTGACATTCAGAGCTGAAGGAGCGTTCAACCACTTGTTCTGGGCACTGTTTGGACTTACGGAAATAAATCTGTTCAAAACAGTCGAGGGTTTTGAAGTTACTCAAGTCACTGGTAAACTGATGTTTGCAGCTTACTTAATTACAGCCTTGGTTGCCTTAAACCTACTGATCGCCATGTTAACWAACACTTTCCATAAAGTCAGTGTAAGTTGAATTGTCTTCTTTACCGTTCCCTTCGCCTGGAAAATACTCGTTCCCTTGAAACTAGACAACTAGTGCTCGTACAGTCTCGGCCCGTAGGCTGCCTTACAACTCTTTACCCTTCGCTTAGTGCCCAGTCATCTCGGAATCGAAGAAGACGTACAAAACAAGAGAAGCTGATGGGTTCCTCGGAAAAATATATCTGTTCTTATGCCCCAGCCAGCTGTAAGTCACAACTGGTTGCGAGCAAAGTACGTAAAGTGCGCGATTTTTTAAGTGATGGGTGCCCTATATTGTGACGTGATGAGTATTCACTGGAAAAAATCGCGCGGTTTAAAGGTTGTAAATTTGATGTATATATGATGTAAGTGTCCAAAATTCTGTAAATTTAATGAAAATCATTTACATAAAATTAATTTACAGAATTTTGGACATTTACATCATATTTACATCAAATTTACAACCTTTAAAGCGCGCGATTTTTTCCAGTGATTTTAAGATCAAAATATTCTTGGCATATGTTTTAGACATTTTGTTTCCGTAGCAACAACAAGATGTAATTTTCAAAGTTGCTCGAACAAGGATCTTGATGCAGTATGTGAACAGAGGAAGCGTGACGGCTCCGCCATACAATCTTTTGCCCTTCAAAGCCGCGGCTCGTTACCTGTATAGCTTGGTAAGCAGGAGTATCGATTGTTTGATTAAAATCACTGACTCAAGCCTGATTGCGGTCAACAATTTCAATTTCAATTATTCGAATCTTTTGTATCAAGTCATTCTCATCTCATTTGCATATTGAAGTCAGTACATGTGGGATTCAACGTTCGGTCTAAATGATTGCTTGAATGGAAGGCTGAATGTCTTTGTTTTCGTTGATTTATGTATAGATCACGACTTGTGCAATGCCGCACTACAACGAAAATTCTCTCAGATTTAACCAAAACAAGGTAAGAATTTTTAATGATTTTATTAAAACTTGCAAACCGCAAATATTCTGCGGCGTCATTAGGAAAATAGTTCTCGCACGCAACTTTTTTATGTCTGTTTTTGCTTTTTTGTGAAAAAATGATAGCATTTTCCTGCTTGTGTCTCAACCTAAAAAGCCATACCTGGCGGAATTATTAGAGTGGACCACTTTCTTCTCTAGAAAATAGGATATCTGCATTTCCTCCTTCCAATTAAGCACAATTCTTTTCTTTATTCACTGGAAAAAATCGCGCGCTTTAAAGGTTGTAAATTTGATGTAAATATGATGTGAGAGTCCAAAATTCTGTAGATTTGATGTAAATGATTCCCATTAAATTTACAGAATTTTGGACACTTACATCATATTTACATCAAATTTTTACAAACTTTAAAGCGCGCGATTTTTTCCAGTGATTTCTATGACATATCTGCATACTGCCCATTAAAAAATCGACGTTTCGTCTTTAAAATATAAACACGTATGTACCGAGGTTTATTAGGTCAGAAGTGCTACAGGCTTCAACAGTATTGTCTCTATGTTTTATTTTCTCAGAGAAACCGAGTCATGAGACTTCTAATCCAAAGATACTTCATGGAGAAAGATGAAGACGAGATCTACTCGGAAGATGTTTTTACTACGACAGCTGAACGTCAGCCAAACATCYATCAAAATGGTAGTTTACAGACGATGCTGTAGTACAGTAAAAGCTTGGATTCCTGGCTACATTTGTATATGTTCTCTTCATCACAAGCATGCTGACTACAGGATAACTTTTCTCGTAGTTTATAGATTTTTAAAAACTGAGAGTTTTTGCTTCCGAAAGGATGGACGGGAAAGCAAATATTATGAATATAACATTGTTTTAGAATCAAAAKATCAGCCTAAAATCACTCTCTCATCGAGCAGTGGCATAATTTAACACGTTTAGGTAGATTTTATTTGGATTTCTGCAAATTCTGATACTTTCTGAATATACTTCTGTGTTAGCTTTGAAAATATCAACGTTTGCATATACGACAACGCTGATTCAAAAAGGTCAGGAGGAGCCTTATAAATAACTGTTCTTGTACGATTTTTTTCCTGGGAAAGGTATTTTGAGCTACATTGTTGACAATCTCACAAGCAAATGTGGCGACATTCCTTCCTTACAATAATTTTGTTCCTGGCAATCGTTTTTAAGGTACCAAAAGGCTTATATAAGTTTTGATGGTCAAAAACGGCGTATATTTGTTTAGTTAGGAAATTTTTATTTTCCTGGAAAAAATTCTGAGAAAGTATTCCTTACCTGGAGAGTTCTTTTTTCCTGAATTTCTCGCTGGCAACCCGTTGTGATTTACAGCTGGCTTGGACATTAGAACAGATTTATTTCTCCCAAGAACCCGTCGGCTCCTCCTAAAAGGTGTAACATTACCATTAAATAATATCTAAAAATAACTGAGTCGGCGTTTCGTGACTGCGCAATAAAAATAACTATTTAGTTACGATTTGTCGTTGAAACAATATTAAAGACAAAACGATTGCTTTAGAGTGTTTGGTCATCATGTTTATTGTGAGTTTCCTGACTTCATGTTATTCACGGACATTGAATGAAAACGATTCAATTCAGTTATGACAATATCTAACAATTGTGCATAAGTTCATCACAAAAAATAATAGTYTATTGGTAAGTATTTTACATTCAGAATCATAGCTAGTCGTGAAATAAAACTCGCAGTTGATTAAACATAACTTCTCGATCACAGCATTTAGCAAGTTAAGCAGTTAAGTGACATTTCGCTTCAATGAACATGGTTGATATTGATCGTAATGGAAGCTCAATCAAMAACTGTCAAGAARCCAAAACGAAAACAAAAACATTGAAACAACGCGTGACAAACTATCGTCGAAGAACCTGCAAAGAGTTCCCTGCTACAAACAATGAGTAGAGATTTCACAGAAATGGAGAATATCAAGTCCTCCATCGATTCTTCAGGCTTTAACGACCAATTCTTTGGAGCTGTGCGAAAAGGCGACATTCGCACTGTTAAAGATTACCTCGATCAAGATCTGGTGGATGTAAATAGTGTTGACGATGAAGGACAGACAGCTTTACAAATWKCTGTCACAGAGGAGCACATTGAAATTGTCCGTCTTCTTGTCAACAACGGAGCACAAATTGGAAACGCTCTTCTAGATGCCATAAACATTGGTTCCCTAGAAACTGTAGCAGTCTTGGGGCCGCTACATAAGGAAAGCTCCAGGCAATACCTTCGCAGTATTTCAAATATAGAAAGATCAGTAGAAGTCGTTCTGCCCCCTCTTGTCCTGGCAGCCCAGAACAACAATTACGAAATAGTAAAATTTCTCCTGGACGAAGGTCATAAAATTCAATCTCCACATCCGAARTACTGCGAATGCGAAGCGGTCTGTGGACAACTTGGTAGACTTGGGACGTACCTTCTTCATCTCAACACCTTCTCTGCATTGGTCAGTCCTGAGTTCATCTGTCTTGAGTTCCTACTACAAGATGATAAAGATAATCCATCCATTGAAAAGGATCCATTGTACAGAGCGTTTGTACTTAAAAGAGAGGTATTGCACCGCGCTGAGACTCAGTACGAGTTTCGTGATGACTACTTTCTTCTGGCTGAAAAGTGCGAGGACTTCGCTGTTGGTCTTCTGGACCAGTGCCGCAACCTTGAAGAAGTCTCTACCATTATGAGCTTACCTGGTATCAAAGACCTATCAGGTGCTCCAACTAGTGTGACTACAACGGAGGAGAAAAAGCCCAATCTAAGCATCCTGAATTTTGCACTTAAGAATAAAAACAATCAGGTAAAGAGAAATTATATATTTTYATGTTGATGTTTTCTTAATCACGGTTTATGTTCAAGGGAAGCTTTAATCAGTTTCCTGATAATCAGTAAAACGAGTCTGAATATTTTATTTCGAATGAAAACGGTTTTTGCTGAAATGACGCACTTACAGTTATTTATCAAATTGAGAGTTATCGCTAGCTATAGAAAACCTCTACAAAACACTTAAGGGTTGGGTTAAGATATTTAAGATATAAAGAATGTGCTGWAGCATTTTCTTCTTGAAGGTTTACTAGAGCAATTTCCCTAATAACCTAAAAACAAAAAAGTTTCAGACAGTTTTTACGAGACTTTACAACATATCCACAAACAATTGTTCAATATTTTCACTGGAGCATAGCAATCATTGAATCAAATAGGGGGCGGTTGTGGGGTTGGTGGTGGGAGGTTTAGGAGGGTAAATTTTGATGTGGTGCTTTTGAGAAAAAAAACAAAAAGACTTCATCAGGGATTGATTATATGTGCCTTAGKAGGGCAATGTCCTCTGAAGGCCCATCGCTATGGCACTTGCTCAGCCCTGAATGCTTTTGGAGCAATATTGGTCACATACCTGAAGAGCTAAAGGAAGTTCAAAAGTCAAGAGGTATAACTTCAAAACAAACCGCAACATTACGATACATGCAAACAGCACACTCACTGCAAAAATATAACAGGACCACATACCGGCACAAAAATGGACTCAGAAAACGACAAAAAATCAACAGAGATGGAAGAAATCCAGACTGTCGATCAGTCAAGCTCGATTTTTTTTGGAGCTGTGCGAAATGGTGACATTCGCACTGTTCAAGATTACATCGAYCAAGATCTGGTGGATGTAAATGGTACTGACGTTGACGGACGGACAGCTTTACAAATTGCTGTCTCAGAAGAGCACATTGAAATTGTCCGTCTTCTTGTCAACAAAGGAGCACAAGCTGAAAACGCTATTCTAGATGCCATAAACATTGGTCTCCTAGATATTGTGGCTGTCCTGGCGCCGCTACATAATAAAGATCCCGGCAAATACCTTCGCAGTAGCTCCAGGGTGGACAGATCGGTCGATGCCCTTTTAACACCTCTTATTCTGGCAGCTCAGAACAACGATTATGAGATAATCAAGTTTTTTCTAAGCAAAGGAAATAAAATTCAATCTCCACATGAAAAATACTGCGAATGCGAAGCGGTCTGTGGACAACTTGGTAGACTTGGGGCGTACCTTCTTCATTTCAACACCTTCTCTGCATTGGTCAGTCCTGAGTTCATCGCTCTGGAGTTTCTACTACAAGATGATAAAGATGATCTATCCATTGAAATGGATCCATTGTATAGAGTATTTGTACTTAAAAGAGAGGTATTGCACCGCGCTGAAACCGAGTACGAGTTTCGTGATGACTACCTTCTTCTGGCTGAAAAGTGCGAGGACTTTGCTGTTGGTCTTCTGGACCAGTGCCGCAACCTTGAAGAAGTCTCTTCAATCATGAGCTTACCTGGTATCAAAGATGTCTCAGGTGGTACAACTACAAATAATGCCACTGGCGACAAGAAGCCAAACTTAAGCATCTTGAGTTTTGCATTAAGAAATAAGAACAACAAGGTAAATCATGTAGGGCCTAAATTAAAGAAAAGAAAACAATRAAAGTTCAAAATGTCCTTTTTTACTTTGATAAAATGTTCAGGCGTTGGAATTAGTGCGAAATGTGGAATCAGAATTTGGTTGGTTTTACTAGTGAAGACGTAATGGATAAGTTGTTTCACGCTTCCATGAACCTTTTCAAAAAATTGTTTTCTGATACATCTATATACAGTTCAATAATGTTTGTAATTTTTAAACGTCATGTATCTATTGCCACATCCAAATCCCCGGCCTATCGTTTGATTGTCACTTTAGAGGTCTTCTTTACCCAGAAGTAGGACAGCCAACCACAACATGGAGACATATGCCTTTTTTACAATATATACCACAGATACATTTCTTCAAGCAGGACGGTATGGTACTTCAACTTAAAATATACAAAATATTTGGACAATATCTGACTACTGACGAACCCGATATTGGATCGGTGTCAATCATGGAATAAAAGGTTGCCCCCATACCCTTTCCTGGCACATTCCACATAGTCCATTTGCCTTAGTTGTTTAACATCTTTTGTTTCTGAATCTTCTGATTGTCTCTGTAGAATTTCACATCGCATTTGATTGTTAATGAAAGCCCTGAGGCTAAATATAAGAATCACAATGCATGTAATTATTCCATYAAAGTCTCTCAGTAGATAGGAGTCGGGCATTAGATTTGTCAATCAAAACTGCTTCTTCATTTGAGGCCGGTAATAATACATACAGGTGCATCGTATTCGGCAATTCGGCACGACTAGGGGTAGATTCATCAGAGATTGTACGTTGTTAGCCAGAACGAATTAGAAAGCTTAATAGCGAAATGTGCTGTAAAATATGCAGACATGCAAAGTATTTATTGAATATTTTTTTTAGTTACAACGTAACAATATTTTTCAGGAACATTTCTAATGACGTTAATGTCAATACAGAATTTATACAGTCAATTCCAAATTAAGTTGTTCTGTTGTAAATACAGTCGTAAAGACGACCACGACAAAATCGTTTGCATAAAAATCTGCTTTTTGAAATTCCCAGGAAGAATTGTAATTCTAAACTTTAGATAGATAACAAATTAAATGTTATTRACATTATAAAGACGTTTTTGAACCTTACATTGAACATAATTGAATTTAAAAATGTGATATATGCAAATGAGTTTGTTGTTGTCTTAGTGTTTCTACAACTGAACAACATAAATGGTATTGACGGTATACACCTACTTGCAGAAACGTTGTCATAGAAAATAGAACATTCGAATTTAGTAAAAAGGAATAAATTAAAACAAAACAAAAGAAAGCGTTCAGCCTCAGTGACCTTCTTTTGTCTTTATAATTTATTCCTTTTTACTAAAATACAAATGTCCTAATTTTTATGACAACGTTTTCGCAAGTAGGTGTATCTCATTCTAAGATAAAACGCAATTATATTTTTTCTTATCCAGTATAAATCAATTTATTTTATAGTTCATTGCCCATCGGTTCAGCCAAGTGATGCTGAATTCTGTTTTCTACACTGGGGTAAAAGGAATGGAAGAGAACAACCACKTCCTAAGTACGTTCCTTGTTTTCCTTTATTGGATAGCGATGCCAACATTCATGCTTATCTACCAGCTKTCGCCCACAAATCAATGGTCAAGAATGCTTGAAATTCCCGTTGTGAAATTCTTAAGTCACGTGGGATCTTGGATTTGGTTCCTGGTCATTCTGGTCGTTGCTGCATTTGAAACAAAAATACCAAAAAGAACAGAACATGATGTTCAAGCTATTGGTAAGAAGRAACTTAAYTSCATCATAGGAATGAATTGAAGATTACACAAAAGAGATATACATCAAGAGCGAATCCAGGGGGGGTTAATAGAGTGGCCACCCCCTATTTGTAGGGATAAAAAAAATCGAAATAAAATTTATGATAAGTTAATTCAAATAATGTCATTTGAATTGGAAGGAAATCTTTCTGAATCAATTGGAAGGAAATCTTTCTAAAAAGTGCATTCATCTAAAAGAAATCTCATTTTTCACAACCTCGTTCCTGCTACTGATGAACTGCAATTATTATCTGTTGCTTTATGCTTTCACAGAGACCATGATAGGCATTTGGGTTGCAGGCATGATGCTTGAGGAGGTGAAGCAGTTCTACCGTTTAGGGAGAAAAACCTACATGTCACAATGGTGGCGCGTCGTAGCAGCTTTGGTCTGCATCTGTTTCCTTTTGACAGGGGTTCTTTGGGTCACTGACTTCGCCATTCTGTCCAAGGAAAAAGGAACTGTCCTGAAGCTAAATGTTACAAATTTTAATAATTTTCAGGGCAATGTTGTCCGTCAAACTATCAGGATGTCTGGACACACTTTTTACACCTTGGGAGTTTTGCTGACTTTTTGCCAGATTGCGCATAATATCCAGGTAATTATGTACCGCCATGACGTCACATGCACACATGACGCCATTAGCATGTCATTAGCCGACGGCCATTTTCACACGCGCGGAAAGAGACAATAAAGCTTTAGAATGACGTTCGCTGTATTCCACACTGACAGGTCAGCTACTACTTAGGACCGCTTCACATAACTTTGATGARCATGGCGGGTGATGTAGTGAAGTTCATCTTTATCTTTGGCTTGGCGTAYCTTGCGTTTGCTATTGGTTTGAAGGAGCTGTACTCTTGGTACGACAGCACTGCTAAAGCTGAAGCTGGAAATGGCGTCTTTGTCTTTGAACCGCACGAGTTTGTCAGGTAACAGAGTTTGTACAGAACTAGAAATTTGCTGATTACTCAGCCTCAGAAGCCTTTGTTATTTTGATCACTGGGGGGGCACCCCACCCCTTACATAACGGCATTGGTTTTGTACATAAAACATAAGCGTACAGGGGCGGATCTAGCATTTTTACAGACTAGTTTCCAACTAAAAAAATGTTGTATT